TCTTCCGATCTCCCCAAAACCCCAAAACCCCACCACAATCTCAATAATAACAATTTTGAGCAAATTATAATAATAAAAATGAGAATTAATACAGACTTGATTTCAAAATGTGCTCAATACCTGAACGCTCTAAACTAGTATCACATAGATATGCGAGGCTACAAGATACCATTCATTGAGAATCTAAACGCCACAAATGACTAGTTTTCAACAATTGATCTGACTGATAATGAGATTGCTAGACTAGAAAATTTACCTGGTCTTTTAAGACTAGAGACTCTTTTGCTTTCAAACAATAGAATAGCTAAAGTTGATCCAACTTATGCTGAAATGTGCCCTAAGCTAGAATCTCTGGTATTAACAAATAACAAGATCAGTAACTTTCAAGAAATAGATAACATTGCCACTGGCTCTAAGGGTACTCTTTTAAGACTCTCTCTGGTGGGTAATATCGTAACAAATTTGCCAAATTACAGAATGTATACAATTAATAAGATGCCACACTTAAGAGTGTTAGACTTTCAAAAAGTCACATAAAAGGAGAAATAGGCTGCCAAAAAGTTATTTGAGGATAGCTCAATCCTTGGTAAACAGATTATTAAAGAAATGCAAGCAAGATAACAAGAGATTGATGAGAGTTTAAGAAAGGAAGCTAAATCATCTAAGAATTTGATTGGAATTCAGGATGAAGCAATTAATCATAAAATTAGAGAACTTGAAGAAAAAATCCTAAATGCTCAAAGCTTAGATGAAATTTAGGTACTTGAAAAGCAAATCAAAGAATTGGAAGACTAGAAAGAGCTATAATGAATTATTAAACAGATAAAATAATGAAGAAGACAAACTGAGTTGGGTGAATAGGTGAATGTAAAGTTATAAGATTATCAATAATCTAAATCATTAATTAATTAAACAATAATAGTTCTGTTATCAAAGTATTTATTAAATCATTCTAAAAATCTAATTTTCAACTTGCAAGCACTTTCTTGAGATTTATATTGCTCTATCTACAATTAATCTTGCCATCCTCATCTATTGCTATTTCATATTTCTAACAAAATTTCTTATAGTCATCATTATCTTAGATGTTTAATAAGACTTTCAAATCTTCAGATTGAATTCCCAATTAACTAGTAATAATTGGCAAATGGTATAATAATTACAATGCTGGCAAAGATTGTTTGAGTATTCTTAATCTGATTGAATCTTCATGGATCTTTATGGCTTATGAGAACAAATATTCATTTTATCTCTTGACCAATCTTAGGACACTTGTATAATTTCCACTACTTAGGTTTCTTATAAGCCTAAATATTGGCATTAAAACAAATTTGATACCTCTTGTATGCTAATCTCATCCCAAATAATTTGGATTAATCCTCATGATGATAATCTTCAGTTTGCATTTCTATTAAATCTTTAGTTTTAATCTCAGTAAATAAGTCGAAGTCCTCCCTTATAAAATAAATGAGACTCATTGTCATCCTAATTTCCTATGAGTTAAATTAGAAATATATTACTTCGAATCTCCAATAAACTCCTAACTGCTTAGCTATATCAATGAGTCTCGAATAGCTTTAAAGAAACTAACTTAAATCCAAATTATTTAGAGCTACTACACAATTGACCTCATACACTTTCAATGCAAATTCGTGGTCAATTTTTCTGATTGTTAGTTCTTATCTAATGGCTTTTAGTTAATCGATAAACCATTCATAGTTCTAACTTTACTCATAAATGCTTTCTGATGTATAGCTGTCAAATTTAGTATAAACATGATCAAAAGCTTAAATCAACTGTTTTTCTGTTCTGATTAATTTGTCATCTTGCAAATCTTTTTCAGTGATTAGCTAAGTAATACGGAAATATTTCTTCTCCAAATAATTATCAGACTGCTATTTATAAAATTGATCTTCTTATTCGAACTTGAGCTTTCTTTCAAATTATTGATTTAGTTCTTATTAATCACTCTCAGAAGGCTATGGCTAGGGCTACTAATTTTTGTACTTTTTACCAAATTTTTTAATCTCAAACGACATTGTATTAATGTTTAAAAAGTTTATTAATTATAATAATTATACGTGCATTCATTATTAATGGGAGAAATCAAAGCTGAAGCAAGTGATAAAATTATGAAAACCTTGAAAAAAGCCTTAAATATTTTTGATTAAAGCTCTACATTCATAACTTTTATAATTGCTGTTTGTTTACTCGATGAGGTCAAAGGAAAAATAGATTTCACTTCAATTGCGAATGCAGCTGGCATCTTCATGGGGTGGCTATTGGGAACTGTACCTCGAGCAGCTGTTGCGGGTTAGAATTAATGCGTCCCTAGTCTGATTTATTCATTATAAGCAGCTTTAATGATAAGATATGAAATTCCATTACTCTCTGATAGCAATGCATACTAATATGACATTTTAGCAAACTCATACAGACTGTTATTTGAATTATTCGGTAGCTGGGCATTCTGCTCGGATTATATGCTAAATATATTCGGACCACTATTCTAATCATCAAAAACTATTAATATGTTTCACATGAGTTCCATACAAGGATAATCATTGGCTCAGTCTCACAATTAGATTAATGTCTAAGGGTACATATAAGTTTTACAGCTAATTTATGAGTATATGAATTACTTTATGCCAATAATTCAAGGAATCCAATCATTTTTGTCTTATTTAGCAGACAATAAGATAATTTTTGGAATATATACTGGTGAAATTTCCGGAACAGGTTTCGCTTATTTAACTGAGCTAGGAAATTTTACCTTCTTCGGATGAGATCAAATGAAATATTGAAAGAAACAATAATATCGATATTATTATCATTAATTTCTTAACCTTATTTAAAATATAAAATTTAAATCAATGCCACATCGTGGGGTTTTGGGGTTTTGGGGTTTTGGGGTTTTGGGG